TCACACAGCAAAAAAGGGGTAAGCAAGATTTGGTAAAGCTTTGTCACAGATACGACATTTCTCAACTTTTGAACAGTTGATTTTGCATGTACATAAGGTGTGTTTCACGGGCATGGTTTGGGGGGTTTGCTGTTGTTGCTGTCTTTGGGGATGAGGAGCTGCTACACAAATCAGCAGCAAAAGAACATTCAGATCTCAAAGTGGAAAGATCACTTCTTGTCGCTGTATGCTGGCATTCGTGGAGAGCTGGATGAAACTAAGCATAGCCCAGTTCCTATTTTCAACCATCCCAGAGGACTGACACTTTTACCAGGTGAGAAGGAAGTCAGAGAAGTCACCAGAACCCATCAGAATGGGGAATGCTAGACAACTGAAATGTATTGCATTGAAATGTATTTTACAGTATAACTAAGGTCCCAATGTAATTAAAGATGAAATGCCAGCTTTCTCTAACTTCAAAATGGAAATTGTTACAACAACTTATACTTTTATTAAACTACTGAATTCTTATAGCCATACCTGTTTTACGTTCCTTCCTCCCTGCCCTAACTAGCTATTACAAATGTCACAGCTAGATATTATGGTAATTCTCTACCATTCACAAAGCTTCTTTGCCCACAATGATGAATTCTGTTAACATGGAACTTTTTACCATTCAAAAGTTTTACCTAATTATGCCAAAATACTTTAACTACTGTAGTCAATCAGATACATGTTACAATTTTACAGGTAGGCACTCTCGTCTTGTTTAAACTCCTCCCAACATAACCTTAAATTATAGTCATTATTGAAATATGCTTAAATTAACGCATTAGGTTAACCCTGTTGCGTGCCATAATATATGCTACATCTTCACTACAAATAGTGTGCTGCTTCTCTGATGATAAAAAAAATCCTCTAGTTATCTAGATATAAAATCTTAGTGGAGAAGGGAAGCAAAACCAAATATTTACCTCAATGTAACAAAATCCAACCTAGCAATAGTGCCAAGCTGATGTAAATACTGTTGTCTTAACCACTCAGATTTCACACCCAGTAACAGTTATTAAAGTTTTCCGTAAAAAAAAATTATAGCTATTAAATCATATTCAAGTAATAGTTCCAGCATTTCTGCCTTTGATCAGTAAAGCCTAAAACACATCATGTCTTCATTTTAAGAGGTTAATTGGAGCAAAAGTAGTATTTGCTGTCTAATTCTAATTCTATTTCTGAAATTCAGATGTTTTGTTTCTTTAATAAATGTTCCTAGAAGCAGTGATCCCTTCCAGGACACAGACACTGAATCCATGAACTGTTGGCAAATGTCTCATTTTAAGTAGCTATATCATTATAAAACTGTAAATGGGACTATTTTAAAGCTAATGGTTATTTTTAACACCACTTTTTCTACCTGGCAAACAAAGAAATGAGATACTGAAAAATCTGGTACTTCACCAAACTCAGATCACTTCCAGCAAAAACCTATGCCGGAATATCTTCCAGTTCCAAGCTCATTCATTTCTGGTCAGCACTGACTACTGAACCCGGAGATGTGTTGCTGTTCGAATTGGCATTTAAAGTCATATTGGGCTTTCTCATGCAAGAGTTTCAGATTCTCCTGTGGTTACACACAACCACTTTAAAGAAAGGTCTCAGAAATATTTTTAAACAACATATTCACAAAAAAAAAAAAAAAAAAAAAGGAACGTAGTCCAGTTAAGATGGGTTTGGACCACCTAATCTAATTCTAGAAACTTGCAGCAATTAACTGAAGCATAGAGAAGGAACATTCTAACATGTTTAGATTAGAACTAAATTAATATTTTCACTTCTATAAACCATGGAAAATTGTTAACAGTATAAGCTATTATTTAAAACTTGGCCACTGAAAATGTACTATTTATCTGAACATAGATAGGTTAAGGAAACAGGGAAAGGTGGTTAGAAAAATCATCACTGCCTAACATATAACTTAGCCTGTATCTATGCATCTCCTGTCTCCACTGCCTCAGTAAAATCAAGAATATTTACCCTCTTCAAATCACTGTGTAGTTTGAAATGGTTATATTTCAATGACTGTACAATACATGACATTATCATTTATTCAAGTCAGCCAAACATGGGGGGCTGAAAGCATGAAGGGTGGTAATCTTTACATTTAAGGCCAAAAATTTCCCCCTCCGAGGAAAGAAACCCTAAGGTTGACTGTCAATGTCTAGTAATAAGGGCATTTAAAGATATTGTATTTATTCAAATATAGGATCTCGTTTCAATTTCTTTGCCGCAGCATACTCTCATTGCACCATTTTGTCAACAAAAATATATTAAACTTTTTGCCAGTGCAGTTATCACATAGGAACAAATTGAGCTTAGAAAACTACAGCCCACTCAGTCAATCATGGCCACATTACTCAAGGTGAAGATTATCTATGCTTAGCGTAGAGGGCGCTTGGGTCAGCAGCGTTTCTCCAGCTTTGTGCAGTACCACATGAATGCCGAGGTAACTTCTTCAGGGCTGACACATTCAAAGCTAAAACTTTCGTTTTTCTAAGCTAAGAAGCCTCATTAGCATGCAGCAGTATCTACAGTGTATTCCAGAAACCAGGAAAAGAGTGTAGTGAAATTTCAGTAAGGCAGGGAAGCCTACCCAACGTAGCAGATCAAAGAGACTTGGCTATGCATGAAAGAGAGAGAATGTACCAGAAGAAAGATGAGAAGAGGGTTGAGAGGAAAGGTATTAATTTCACTGCTACAGAGTCTGTATGTGTGATTTCATTCAAATGAAAGTGTTCTGGGTTTAGGTAGTGCAGAAAGGGCTACACAGGTGGCTCCTGTGAGAAGCTTCTTGAAGCTCCCCCAGCTCCAAGTTGGACCCACCTCTGGCCAAGGTCAAACTAGTCAGCGACAGTGGCCGAGCCTCTGTGATAACATATTTAAGAAGGGGAACCAAAGAGGAGAAGTTAAGAGTTGTGAGGGATATACCAATGCAAATGCCAAGGTCAGTGAAAGAAAGGAGGAGGAGGGCAGGAGGTGCACCGGAGCAAAAATTCTCCCCTGCAGCCCATGGTGAGGGGGCAGGCTGTCCCCTTGCACCCATGGAGGTCACTGGTGCAGCAGAAGCCATCCTGCAGCCTGTGGAGGATCCCACACTGGAACAGGGGGCTGAGCCCGAAGAAGGCCAGGACTCTGAGGGAAGCCTGCACTGAAGCAGTCTGGGAGTATCCCCCAGAGGACTGCAGCCCATGAGAGGGACCCACATTGGAGCAGTTTGTGAAGAGCTGCAGCCCTGTGGCAAGAACTCACGTTGGAGAAGTTTATGGAAAACTGTCTCCCGTGAGAGGGACCCCGTGCTGGACCAGGGGAAGAGTGTGAGGAGTGCTCCCCCTGAGGAGGAAGGAGCGGCAGAAACAACGGGTTATGGATTGACCACAACCCCCATTCCCCTTGTCTCTCTGCTGCTGTGGGGAGGGGAGAAATCGGGAGCAAAGCTGAGCCTGGGAAGGAGGAAGGGGTGGGGGGAAGGTGTTTTTAAGATGTGGTTAGATTTCTCACTGTCCTACTCTGATTGGTAAATTACTGTTGGTGGTGCTGGTGTTCAAATTAAATCAATGTTCTTTTTCTTCCCAAATCAGGTCTGTCTTTTGCCCACGACCACAACTGGCGAGTCATCCCTCCCTGTCCTTGTCTCGATTCCTGAGTCTTTTGGGGTTCTCTGAGGGAGAAGGAGTGAGCAAGCATCTGGTGGTACTACTCAGTTGCCCTCTGGGCTTAAACCACAAGGGGAGAAACAAACCTACTTAAAGATAATGTAACAAGAACAGGACTAGAACCATGAAACACCCTAGTAAGGAAAACAAATTGATCTGTGCAATTCTATTTTTTCCTACAATTTCTGAAGCAATATAGCAAGGCAAATGATCCAAAATGGCATCTGCTCCTAAAGAGTATTAAAAGGCAAGTCGAAAATCAGTTTCTCCTTATCAAGCAAGAACCACACAAGGGACAGGATGAAGACTTAACTGCCAGCACCCCTTGCTCTGCATGTTCTACACAAGTGATCCTGGCCAGAGCACTGCCACGCACACGTCCTGGTGCTTGGGAGTATGTAGTTGTGAAAGAGACAGTAAGTGAATTCAGCTCACTTAAGAGATTTTTAAAATAAACATCACCCTCTCGTTCTATAAAATCTTGTACTGAGCTTTGCTCTTCTCTAGCTTCTTACAACATATGAAGCCTCTGCACTTGTCCCCACAATCCATCAGGACTTTTAGGTTGTATGTGATGACGTCCACATACTTAGTTTCAATATGATTCTGGCACATACCCTGCCTAAGCAGCTCTCCCTTGCAAGTTCTTAGGAAAGAAGATACCACAAGTCTATGTTAAAAGCTGTCTGTCTGAAAAGTGGAAAAAAACAAAGAAACAAACACTTTAAATTGTAATTGTACCAATCTACAGTGTAACAAGTCATTATAAAAACTGATGTGATACTACTGTTTTACAAGTACTGATACAAGTTTAGCAGCAAGGCAATGAAAACAACTTAGTTAAAAGAAATCATATAATGCAACAGTCTACTGCAGCTCATCTTCAGCAAGTCCATGTTTACGTTCAACAAGCTGTACAAATGTTGTCAACACCTTTAAAATGAGCTCTTCCAGATACTGTATGCACACATTTAGAAAAATTACTAGCTGTTCTAATTGGTTGGAATGTCACAATAATTGCACTTGTTTGAAGTTGGCATTGAGGAGTTAATCACCTACAGAACTCTGTTACTGTGACAGTAACACTTTGACATCATTAAATAATGACTGTTAAATAATTATTATTAGACCAAAACTAAATGTACATTATTTGTTTAAAGGTTTTGCAATATTTTCAGTTAGTTATAGCACTGATTAAAACATTTATCTATACTTTTAAATGTTAAATGTGATTTTACAAAAAAAACCCACAAACAACCCCTTCAATTTATTTTCTGGTATTCCATATTTCAACTATTTTCTTTTAGATCCTACCTGAGAGATTCCGCCATCCGCCTTAAGTCTTCATTTTGCTGCTTCAAACGTTCAAGTTTAGCAAGTATCTTGGATAATTCGCGACTAGAGTGATCAGGGTGCTCACTGTCTCGTACCAGGTGTCCACCAATATAAAAGAGTAAAGTTCCCCAAGCAAAGAGGATGAGCATAATCCAACGCCAGGAACCAGTCCATGGCCGCATTTTCAGAAGTTCAATTCACTCCAGAGCTGCTTCTGCTCACAAAATAACAAACATTTTAAGTCCTCGGACTGTACAAAAGTGGACAATTTCAGTTCCTCTGTTTCACCACATTGTACCGGAGAAAAATTGTTCTCAGCGTTTATCTTACGGCAACTCCTTAGAGAAGATCCTTATGGGGCTGCACATAGAAAGCATTAATATTGCATCACTCTTCATTTATATTCTGTGAAAAGAATAAAAAAAATCTGAAATTATAATTCAGATATATAAAAATATATTGGATTGCAATTAAGCTAAATGTATTGTCATTAACATTCAGGAATGATGATAGACAATGATACTAATTTCTGTCAAGGAGAAAAAGAAAAAAGCTTTTAACTTGCTACAAAAACTATGCTCAGTTCAAGAATGAACCACAAAAGAATATGCAATCAGTTCTGGCTTTGAAATGGACAGAATTGCTACTTTTTATAAGAGAAATATTTACCAATTTGTAATGTGTCATTTCACACATAAAAATAGTTCGGAAATCATTCTGTGGTAAACTTAATAGTCCCCTTTACTATCAACAAAAGAGCTTTTGTTCAATTACAAATTCATCTTTATTTTTTTTCACTTTTATCAACTCTCTTCTCCATTTTTATCACGATTCCCACCCTGTAACAGAAGTTCGAACAATATATTCTACTATTTGTAAGTAGACTTGCCTAGTAGCAGCTGTAATATCAATTAAGCAACTTGCAAACACTGCAAAGATTATAAGCAATAATTTCTAAAAAGCCAATCCATTGTATATCTTACTCTTAAATTTATGGTGGCCTCTGAAATACCCACCTAATATTAAACCCAAAATTTGATTTCTTGCTTAAAACTGCAAGACAACACAACTTCTCTTTATCCTTCTACTTAGTACTTTCTAAAACAGATAAGAACACTGAACATTTAAGAGGTAGAAGAGGAAGATTTCAAGTAGAATCTATGTGGCACTGCTATATTCACACAATTGAAAATCAGGCATGACCTTAGAAACCTAGTTTTTAGAAACATTTTTTCTTCTGCTTTAAACCTATCAAACCCATTTTGACAAGTGTTACTATTAAAACTATAAAAATGCAAAAAGTGTTAAAGGTAATACTTTCATCTAAAACACCGTACCATTTAAAAAAAAAAAAAAAACACAAAAATCAACTCAACTCATCTTCTACTTGGCAAAACATCATTCAATGAGCGCAAAAATCTCCTCATTCTATCTAGAACAGACCTTAAGACTTAACTGATGAGCATGTCCAAAACCATTTTAAGTACTTCTCACCCCTCTTCCTCTTTCTCTGCAATGTAGCACTTCTACCTTTTGTAAAAAGCATATGTGGCATTTATACTCGATTTCCAAAGCAACCTGTATTTCCAATTCTCAAATTTATAAATCAGCCATATTTCCTGAGATGTTATCCACACCCACCTTCGCCCAAATTATTCTTCTCTGTTTAATCCTTCTTCCACTTTACCTTCTTTTTCATAACATTCAGGTTTTTTTTATTCTGTTCCAACTAATTTCAAGTTCAGAGAAAAGACTTCCTAAATTGCAGTAACATCCAAACTCGCCCAGTCATGGAGATATGCCTGAAGCATGCACTTACAGATACAAAAATTCTAACATAGTATTAAAAATGCTGAAAAAATTCTCTAATGATCTTGCGGAAGAGGTTTTGTTTGCATATTTTTGAGAGAGACAGAAAAATTCCACTTACGACTAGTGAGATGGTACACAAGATAAACTATTTGCAAATTGAATACTACTAATGAAATGGAAGACATTTCTAGTACCTCAAGCTTTTCCATCTAATGTATCTGTGACAAGGTAAGTTATAAGCAGACCAGTTTTCTTCGAAAGTAATGTCAGAATCCCACACTAGGAGCATGTAATTTTCTACAGATCTCTAGGAAAGCTTTACATAGCTTTTGCTTTAGCTTGGCAAAGCACGGGACTGCCTTCAGGAAGACAGTGGTTTCTTCAACAATCTCTACAAATGACAGCACAAGTAAGAACCACTCATATTATATGAAACAGAATAGGTCATGCCCAAACCACAGAGGATTGTTGCCTTAAGTGAAACAATCCTAGTCACTTGCAGGAATGATTAATAAAAAAACCCCAACGGACTGACACTTAAGGTTTAAGTGGGAAAGGGTATTCATACATCTGTATTCCCAATCACCCAGAAAATGGCCAACTGTGGCTGCATCATGCTAAGTGAAATCACAAAGTCTGTGAAGGCAGAGGAAAGAAAAAGTAACAGGAGACTTCAAATATTCCTCTACTGTTTGGGTAAATATTATGCTGGGAATTGTGATAAGAACAGACATCATATAATTACTGCTTAAGAGAAAAGCTACTATGAAAAAACATTGACTGAATCATAAGCAGTTTGCAGAACTTGGATCAAAAGTTTTCTGCTAGAGGACCACTTTACAACAGTCTGCATAATATACTCAGATATTTTTTCCTTCTAGCAGCCACAAAGGAAAAAAAAAAAAAAAATCACTACAGCTGTGATTAATTTCAAGAAGAGGAACTATTTTTAAAGAGAAGTGGACTCCATGCCACCTGGAAAGATATCATGGTCTTAATTAAAACAGCAGGTAAAGGTGACTATTATAATTAGCAAAGAAAGTATCCTTTTAAAAAGTTACAAGCATGATCAAAGGATTCAATAGACAAGACTGTAAATTCTGGTACATTAAAGACATAAAAACACTAAACATTTTCTCCAAAGCAGATATCTTACTAGACACTGCAAAGTCAACAAATGATGATAGTATCTAAGAGTTGTCTAGAGTACTTTGCAAATAAAAGACTGACTTTCTTTTTTTCAGCCTGTTTTTTGTAACACAGGAGCATAAGCAAACTCGTGAATCAGGTATCTTTATAAGAGAAAGTGTTGGTCTGTCTCAAACAACAGCGTTAGTAGAACAAACTATCAAACAAATCCACAAAATTAATATAAAAGTCATCAGAAACAGATGGTATTCTTCCAACAGTTCTAAAGAAGTTAAAGAATGCAGCAGTTTAATTATTACTAGTAGTATGTAATCTCTCAATTCTAATCACTTTGTAGCAAAGGAATGAAAAATTAAAACAGTAAACTGAATTCTTTGTAAGGGCTACAGCAGGGATCCCTGAAACTACAGGCCAGAAAAAAATTATGCTTGTGTCAGGCAAACCAGCAAAAATAATAAGATAAAATAAAACTGCAGACATAAGGATGAATGTAACGAAAGTAAAAAAGTACTAACATGGCTTCTGGAAAGAAAAATTGTGCCTCATAAATTTATTAAAGTTCTTCTGAAGATGCAAACAAACAGACGGGCAAGAGAGAATCAGTTCTAAATTATTACACAGTTGATCTAGTCAATGTGGATTTTCAAATGATATTCAACAAGGTCCTCAAAATGTTTCAAAGAAACTAAGCTGCATAGAAAGAGAAAAGTTCATCATGTGAGTCACCATCACATTAAAAGAGAAGACACAGTAAGACTAGGCAATCAGTTCAAGTGGAAAGAATGATCAGGGACCTCACTGGGACTCATGGTGGAGTTCATACAGTTTAATATATTCATAAGTGATTTGGAAAACAAAGTGAAAAGTGAGGTAAAGTCTGCACATATAGTGTAAAAGATAACAGCAATGAAATGAAGGATATCAAGACACTGTCTAATGAAGAAATAAAACGAAAGATGAAAAATCACTTTATACGAGTGTGTAGAGATGACACTTGACTCATCATCCATCAGGAATGGTTTTCAGCTGTGATAGGTAATTCTATAAAATATCAGCTCAGCATTGGGCAAAATGCAACCAAATCCTCACAGATTAGGAAAAAAAAAAAAAAACAACAAACAAACAAAAAAACACAAACAAAAAAAAAAACTAGCCAAAAAACCTAACAAGTAAACAAAACAAAAAAACACCCCACCAAAAAAAACCACAAAAGCAACAAAAAAATCCCACAAACCCAAGAATCCCAAAAGTAAACCCCAAAAGAAAACATTACCATTATGTCATTGCATAAAAGCACTGTCAGGACTTTGATTACTTTGTATCATTCTGATTCAACCAACTCAGAAAGATATGGTGGAAATAGAAATGATACACAGAAGGGTTACAAAAATGAGCAGAGAGAGAGAATGGCCTTCAGTAACTAAACAGATTAATAGAAAGGACAACTCAGGAATTAATGTGGCAGATCTATAAAAATCATTAACAGTATAAGAAAGTAAACTAGGTATAATTAATTGTTTGTTGCTACTTCTAGTACAAGGGGATAATGAGTAAAACTTTCTGGTTTGAACAGATTCAAAACAAAAGAGGATATTTCTCCAAATTTGTAATTCCAGCGTGAAACTTATTTTGATCAAACACTGTAGGTGTTAAAAGTTTACATTTCAAAGACCATTACACCATTTCAAGGAAGATTAAAATTCATAAAAGGCTACCCACAAAGATACTACCCAATACTCTCAGAATCCCAAGTTATATATTGTTGGAAACTGGAGAATATAGCAGGGTAGTACCACCAGAGTATCCTGGTTCTTGCAGTTTTCCCTGGACACTCACTACAGGCCAGTCTTTGAGATGTATTAGGCTAGGTAAGTCTTTGATCTGCTATGGTATGAATACTTCTACAACGAAATTTAAAATGTTAAACAATATTTTAAATGTTAGTAAAGGTTTTGTGTTACAAACACAAAAAGACCACATTTTAATAGGGCTAATTATCCTTTATTTACTTTATAGCAACAAATTTTACAACTCATTATTAATAAAAAAGTAACTTCTTCAGTGTTTTGTTTAAAAGAATAAACAAACTCAGACTGACAGGAAAAATACCAGACAGCCTTTTTAAGGAAGAAAATAGAATGCTTCATCAGGTATTTGTCTGTGGTTGTGAAGATAAGATTGGTCAAGTACTTCTGACTCTCGAGAGCTTATAAAATTTTCAAGTGGGAAAAATAACTAATACTATTTTTATTTATATCACTGTAATCAATGGTGTACAGTAATTACTTTCAAGTACATTGTTCTTGTAGCACATCCACATTGCTTTTATGTAAGTGATTTTAAAGTATTTCAAATTTAACTTTCTTTAATAGTAAACCAGTTTCTACTTCCTGAAAATTAATCAAATTATGTCTAAAACAATTAATGGACTTAATATTTTAAAG